GTGGAAATTAGGCTGCATCTGAGTTCCGTCCCGAGAACCTTTTTTTATACCAATTCCGTCCCGGTTAAAAAAATGACACATACCAATTCCGTCCCGGTTAAAAAAAAGACACATACCAATTCCGTCCCGGTTAAAAAAAAAAGAAGAATTAAAATAATAATAAAATATAATATGTATAATATTGTTGTTATAAAATATTTACAAAAAAATATAGGTATTCATAATATTAGAGTACATCTTCATAATTTAATTATAATTAATCGTAATAATATAAATAATAAAAATCAATAAATATTAAACAGTTAGTTAGTCAAACAGGCATATTGTAATATAAAAATAAATATACTATTTTTAAATAGTCAAAATAAAAATATAATACATTTTTAAAAATTTGAAATTGGATTGAATTTAAAGGATATTTCTTTTACAAATTCCAATCGTGATATTTGACCTGAACTATATTTATACATTTTTTCTTTAATAAAATCTTCTTTAGCTAATATAGGGTTCCTTCGTTTTATGGTACTTCTTAATTTGATATAGGAATCTTGTTGTATATATTTTAAAGCTTCTATAAATTGATAAATATTTGGGTGGGCATGATAAAACATTCCATTGAATTTAGAATGAAATGATTCACAGTTATTTGTGGTACGGAAAGTACTATGCGAAAATTCAGCCCAGATACGAGGTGGAAAAGTAGATTCAGGTGAAATATAATTATCGACCAAGTAATCTAGAAATAAGTCTATTTTTCTATCAACTGGTTTGATTCCCATCATTTCGGACGCAAAAAAATCACCTACTTCATCTGGTGTTAAAAATGGCAATCCAAATATATACTTTAAAAATCTACCAATCTCAGAATTTTTATTCCTATAAAAAGTGGACAATTTTAGATCTTGAATTTTACGCCACCATGATTGACCTAAGTGAAATCGACATCCTCTTAAGTCTATTTCTGGCCAAACTGCATATACGGCATTATGTATAGCCTTTTCAAAATCTGCATAAATAGTTTTTGGTGTAAATTTTAACTGGAGATTATCAAATTCTGTTCTTAAAAATTTAAAAGCATGTTCATACGTGTTTTTAGTTTTGACTGGCAGTAAAAAAAATACTAATGGAATATAATTATTTGAATCTTTTAATCCATGAATAGTAAAAAATTGTGTGAATTGTTTTGGGCAACATTTAAAGGTTCCATCAACATAAATAGTACTAATTTTACTTAAATGAGATAAGTTTGTATTGCAAGTAAACATAATAATGTGTGTAATTGGATCATTTATAATTAAAAAATTTTCGTCATTATTTGTATATATCGTCGTTTTTTTCAATAATTCATGAACGTCTTCAATGGATGTGGGTAACATTGATAATATGGAAGACCTTGCACGGTGAATATTTTTTCTAATTAAGTCTATATCATTAGAGGTAATTGTATTAACATCATGATTAGAAAGTTCTTTATGAATAAGTTTTGCTGGTTTTTCACAAATATCATCAACAGCTTTTCTTTTTAATTTATTATTAAGCTTTTGACGATTTAAATTAGTTTCATCAGTTCTATCATGGCTGTGATTTAAATTTTCAAAGACAATTCCTTTATTTTTTTCCTAATGTAAAAAATTATTTTAAGTACCTATATGCCTTATTATAAAAACTTAATTATTATAAATTTAGTTATCTTACCAATTTTTATATATGCTTTACATTGTTTTTGAATACACTTCCAGCGTTCAATATTATTATTCAATTCTTTATGAAAACAAAATTTAAATTCATTTTTAATAATTAACATTTTACCTTTTTCACTGTACATAGTATCCATATTTAATAGTTATATTAAATGACACGTAAACGCACAAATAACGACTGAAAAGTTTATTTTGTTTCGTTAACTAAAATCTTATTATATATTATCTTTATTTCTATGTGATATGATATTGTTAAATTCAATTATTTAGTGCGATAACTGAAAATAATATTATCTTTATTTCTATATAATAGGATATTGTTAAATTCGATTATTTGGTGCAATAACTGAAATAAATATCATCTTTATTTCTAAAAGACTTGATGCAAGACAGAATTAGTATATTATCCATTAAGAAAAACCTGGGACGGAATTAGTATGTTCATTAAAAAAAGCTGGGACGGAACTAGTATACCTTTAATTTCAATTTTTATATATGGGACGGAACTCGGATGCAGCCGGAAATTAATAAGTCACTATGTATTGTAACACAATGAATAAATTAGTATAATTGTATTCTTATGAAATTCCACATTATTATTTTAAATTCTGAGCAGAGCTATAAGGGTGTTTATTTCATAATGATGTGTGTTTTTTTTATTTTTTGTACACAATAAGAAGTTGATGAAATGCTTTAATTTTTAACAACTTATAGGGTAGTTTTATATAGAAAATTGTATCTGGTGTGTTCTGAATGGTCAAAATTAATTTTAACATATTATATAGATAATGAAATATGTTCTATTTCTTTTAGTTTTCTTTTCTTTTGCTATCAATTTTGATTAAAAATGTTTATAACTAATGACTAACGTCTATAGTTACAATATTTTATTTTTTTATAAGCGATTTAAGTTAGAATTTTAACAAAATTCATAAATCGCATATATTGGCAAATTATTTTGTGATTAAAAATGCATAAATATTCTTGTTTTTATACTAAAAATTTGAAAATCGCACCATCCTACTATTATACTAAAAGTAAAATAATTTTTTTTAGTAAATATACTAAATAAACATTTCACTCGGTAGTACAGGCTGATAGACTTTTCGCTAAGAATCATTTTTCGTGTACAATGAATAATGATATACCACTCAATTCAAATTTAACACACCCACAATAGTGACTCACTCAATATTTTACAAGTATATAAAACTTACTTTTTTATTATAATTATTTAATTCTATATTGTTACAGTATTATTATATTTTCATTCACGATAAACAAGTAAAACATATTACATTGTAAAACAGAACAACAGTGAAATATAATTTTTGAATTAATTAATAAAAATCAATATCGTAATTATTATTATTACTGTATAAAATATTAAATACAAGTGGTGTATATTTGATATTCAGTTTAATCAAAAAGTATCTGGGACATAAACCTATAAACCTCAGTTTCGCTATTTGAAGTTAATCAATATTAATTCATTAAAATTTAATTTTTATCGTGTCATTTCATCGAATCTAATGAACGTAGCACTAAAATTTAAAATGATAATTTGAATGAAGCAATTTTATCTCCCAGCTAACATTTTTACAGAAATATATATATAACTAAGTGTTTGGTCGTAAATGTGTACCTTAAAATTATGTATGACGGTGGGTTCCGAATGCGTACGCGTACTGATATGATGATTTTTTTGTCATGCTACACGCTGCGTATTGTATAATTGAACAAAGAAATTCCAACTATACACAACTATAATAAATCAACGCTTCCGATTTTCACATAAAACATAATTTTAAGGAAAATAATGCAATTCAAGCCAATGTTAAAACTTAAAAGTTTAAAATAACAACTAAATTAAAATACTAAAGTACCTTCACTTTAAATATTAGTATAGAATATATTTGTGACCTCTATTATAATGTATTTTCCTAGCTATTATAATACAGTTACTTAAAGACTATAGAAATAGGATTACAAAATCAAGCATATGTTTCCGGATAAAATTATATTTAATACAATATTTTTTAATCATCTTATTAAGTAAGTTTAGAGCATAAAAAAATAACAATATATATTTTTTAATCATGGGACTAGGAGATTTACAATAATCTGGATTTAATCAGATATCAAAGACTGCCATTACTATGTATTAAGATTTAAGAATAGGTATATGAATTCAATTCACTATATAAAATATTGTGTATATGAACTCATAAATTGAGAAATACTATTTATGTCTCAAATATGAAAATCGAAATTTTAAATTCTTGAATAGCTATCTCTTAATTCATATTTTTAACTCCTATATGGAATTTAAAACGACATTTATCATAATACTTGAAATCATTAAATCTACAAATTTGGTTACTAACTATAATAAATACAATAAAAATAACAAAGTAAATTTAATATGGATAATTATAAAATATAATATCATAATAGAATATATTAAATGATGTTATTTAAACATATAACAACAACAGCCAATGGAAAACTTATATTTTGTTAAGAAAAAAAATCACTGACATTGACTAATTTCTTATTATATTTTTATTTTGTTTTCTATAAATCGTATAAATTAATAATTAGAAAAGAAAAATGAAGGATTAAACGTATTGACTAACTTAATATCGCTACTGGCTTTGTTTTGTATACGTTATTATTATATTACAACTAGAAAATAATGTACACCGTAAACAAATTTAATGTTAATATACGTCGTAGAATTGCGATTCTATATGTTAAAATTGTTATAAGTAAATATTCTATGCAGGAGTATGTAACTACGATAGAGTAGGCGTGTGGGACGACGCAATAACATAAAATAGATAACGGAGCTGTGTGTTATAGTTTTTTGTAGGATTCGTGTGTAGGAATGTGCTGTAACTTTAGATCTCGGATTCTGTGAAATAAAATTGTATGAACCATCAAATATTATATCTTAACATTCTTAACTCTTGAAAACACGACTTGCGTCATTCTGTTGGAAATTTGGTATGTAAATAGGATCCACATACAGAGCTATAAGCAGATGAGATTTTTCGAAACTAGAACGAGTACCTCCATGTCGCAATTGTTTAGTAGAAACATTTAAAAAATAATTTGAATATTTCAATAAATAATCATTATAGCTCATTCAGCGTTAAACTTATTGCAAAACCAATCGACTAATTTTCATACAATGATCGTTTGTACGTGGGGCAACCTCGTCACGTAAATAATACAGATTGTCGTCATGGCATACGATGGTATCGTATACAAAAAACTATAATAGACATGACTTACTACGAGATCGAGTCCGGTGCAATCTGTGGTAGCGGTAGTTCGTCCGGATGGCAGCACGATCGACGTTGGCAATAACGTTTCCTGGCACGTGTCGTTGCCGTTGCATGTCCGTTCGGACCGGTAACCGCCAACGCGGCCGCGGCGCCCTTGTCCAACGTCAGCCCCGGTTGTACCGTACCCGGAACCGTTGCGCCAGCAGGGCAACACCTGTTTGAACTCTTTCCGGAAGTTTTCGTTCAGCCACGCATATAGGAACGGGTTATAGCACGTAGAGCTCATAGCCACGGCATGAGCAGAGAAGAAGAATAGGTAGTAGTGTTTCCACGTGGCCGTCTGCAGGTAGAAATCGTTTAGCAGATTGATGGCTGTCAGCGGAAGCCAAGACACGCCAAATATAGTCACCATGGCGATCAACATTCTGCAAAAAAAAAAAAAGCATTTAAATCAAAAGTCTCGTTGTTAAACAAAACTAGAGGCGATTTTAACGGTAAAATAATGGATACTTAAGGTCTGGATTAGGAAATGATGTGTCATGTGCGCAGCTACTATATTAACAATTGATAACTACATTACAAAACCCTTTATAAAACTACGTACTCACATATTGACAGTCTATAAGTATTTGTATTTATTTATTTATTTAATGTGTTTATCGTCTGAGATTTAAAATATTTCAACAAGAACATCAAGAACAAAAGTCTAGGAAAAGTTAGGTTAATAGGAATATGCATTGTTTAATTCACATTTATTTTGTATATTTTTTCCTAAAAACAGAAAACCCTATTTCAATATTTATCAATATTTCATTTAAATACAATATCAATAATCAAGTTATCTTATTAACTCGTAATATATATATTTAATTTAACTTTAATTTTAAACAAATTTAACTTCAATATTTAATATTAATAAACAAAAATATTGTCTTATACCGAATAATTATTTTATGAGGACCTCTATAATATTTGTGGACTGAAACTTATTTCTTAAATTCATAATTGAAACTAACCTAATAACCTATATATATATTATGTATATATATATATATATATATCCTAACAAAGCAGTTTGCTCCAAACAAGTAATTATTTTATTAGGACCACAGATTGATAGATCGATGTATTCTATATTCAACTTTCTTTTCGAATATATATATCTATCAAATACCCAAGTTAATTTTAAAAAGATATGCTATTATAAATATATATTAATATTTTATATAATGATACATAATTTTTGTATCACCATATGATAGTTTATTTAAGAATTATAGGTAAGACAATTGCGCATCGTTTAATTTTTTTAGTTAGCCACAGCTTGTGTAATATTTGTTTGCCTTACGTACACTATTTGCGCATCGGAATCATAATTGAGAAAAGAGATCAGAGGTACCGACAATTATAAGTCGTTAACTAAATTTTAGTTTTTCAGCTTAAAAATTAAATCTTAAATTTTCAAACATTTTACAGGTATTTATATTTTAAAATGTTTATCTCGACACAATTAAGCAACTCTAGTGTATGATACATGAATGATTCGTAAATCGTAACTGCGACCAACTAATAGATTTTTATCACAGTATACATAAAAATTATGATTATAAAAATTTATAATGTGATTGTAAGTATAAGATAATTTATTTTTATTTTATATACATCTTTATATTACATGTATGTATATTGCTATATAAATTATTACATTTTAAAGTTTAACCAGAATTTTGAATCACAACTAAAAAATCATTTTATTATATGATATCAATTATTTTTTTTTATAACCTGCTATATTGTTCTATATATTAATACGTAAACGATGCGTGATAGTTTTGTTAAGCCGTACAAGTAAACTGCAGTGGATGTGCATTGATGATGATCGGCGATGCATATACATTAAGTAGATCCTATCGGTTTGGATCGGATTATTTTTATCAGTTGGTACTTAATATTTTTACTATACGCATTTTTTTCTGGCCATGATTACTTTATAAATTAACATAATATAATAATACGCACATTTATACGTTTTACACACGGGTATACATAATAGATACACACTTGCACAGCATATGCATTGTGCATAGTTGTGCGTATAATACGAATATCTACGAAAATATTGGTATCTCTTTCAGAATACGGTCTTTTATCCGGCACTCGTTGAGCGTAAAATTGTTTGCACGTTTCAACGATGTAGACTACGACAACTTTTAGACCTCCAATGAATAAAATATACAAATTATGACAATAAAATCATACAAAATGGTTTCAGAGAAATCACAAGACATTTGGCATAGTATTCAATATTCGATTCCATACTTCCCTATTATAATATTGTAGTACAGTAAAACTTACCTTAAAAGACATTTTTAAAAAGAAAATGGCTTAAAATTAAAGAAGTTTTTTTTTTTTGAGAACAAACTAATACCTGTAAAATTCTGAAAAAGTAAGTGATTGAGAATGTCCGCTATACAAATTGTATGCATCGTTTTAAAAATGACATCAATTCACGATATTCACCAAGTAATAATATTGCAAGACTTTGATGATATTTAAAAATCACTGCTTTTATATCCAGGTTTTTGAAATTTTTCTTACAAATTGTATTAAATTAAATTCCTTTTATTTAAATAACATTTTCAGGAATAATGTGATATGCTTTTATAAGATTGTGTTGTGACACTGTAATATAATTTAGATTGAATTAAAGATAATTTATTTTTTATAAGATATTGAAAAATATTAATAACGTTTACATCTTAACTTTAGTTACATTAATACATAATATTTACAATATACCATATTATCCAACATTAAAATAATATTAAAAATAATATTTTGAAGTCATTCTATAATCGATTATTATGTTAAATAATTTGAAGTGATATGCTATATTCACTGTGTCTTATAAATTATAATTATTTAGTTTAAAATTCTAAAAAATTTACATATTTTAGCTCATTTATTAAAGAAAGTTTTCGCTTTTATGAAATCCACGAACAATTCATCTTGTAACAAATAAATACAATTTGCATTGTTGAAAGTTTGTTTAATGAATGCTATAATTCTACAACCAGCAAAATATAATATTGCTTCAGTGCATCCACTTTACTATAAAATTTCTTTAATTTGTCTCATGTTCCAATTATAGTGTATTATCCAATTATGAATAGAATAAAACACTGAATAAAAAAAAAAAAGATAACTAGTAGTTTCAAACAAAGTGGTTAAGCGATTATGTTAGTAAGATGATAAAAATATCTATTGAATGAAAATTATTCTACATCAGCGATTATATTTTCTCTTTTCTGAAAGCGTTGTACTTTACAGGCCAGTCCCCTCTGGAATATAACTTAGAAATTATTTTATTTGTATTCTCACCCAATTACATTAACACATTACGGTGAGATAAAACTTAAAATCTAGTAATATAATCAATAATTATAAGCGTCTATGGATAAATTACATTTTCTATTTTTTAATTTTTATGAATTTTTTTTTTTTTTAACTAAATAATAATGCAGCGTTTTTATAGGCAAAATAAGTACATTAAACACCATGGTCGTAAATATTTTTTCAGTATAATATCATGAGAATAACACAAAACAGAATATATTAAACACCTCGATACACTATGTATTATATACCCATGAAATTAGTAACTATATTATATAAGGTGAAATTATGTGTAAAGGGTATTTTTGTTTTTAACATCGAGTATAATTTTAAGTAGTTGAGAATTCATAACAATTTATTAGTAATAAAATTACCAACAATTCTTATTTTTATAAACAAAAATTTAAGTATAAATTTTTATCATTATGTACTCAATAAATTTAGATTAATCTAGTGTAAAGCTATTTTTCTTGAATATTTTTATTCAGATTGCTTCGATTCAACTTTTTTTACGAATCAATGATTAAAATACTTGACAGCGCAAATTACGATACAAAGCAATCTATTTATAAAGGCTATTGAATTTTTCTAAACAACAAAAAAATATTTTTGATTTTTCGCATATTCATTTCGGATACAATATAAATATTTTATTTAAAGTATTAGATGGAGGACTTTGATTCATGAATAATAATCGTTACTATTTTATTTTATTCTTAAAAAAATTTAAAAAAAGTGATTAAAATAAAAGTTGGTATTTTAATTTCAAGATTATTTATTAATTTATTTAATAGTTCTAATAGCTTTCCAGAAATATTATTGTCATTTATTATATATTAATATTAAACACTGACTTAGAAAACTGTTAAATTTATATTTATTTTTTCTATACTTCGATCACCAATAGAACGTAACTAGACGGCATCCAAAATGCGTCGTAGTCTACGTATTGACCACCACTAGTAATATGGAAATGACCACATAGTTGATCACAAAATAATATAATCAATTTAGTTAGTGATGTTAAATTTTTAACGTGGTTCTAATTAGAAGAGGATTAAATACTGTATACTATTTTAAAACCGTATAGAAAAAATATCACTTATGTCTTGCCATCATCATTATAAAAACTATAGTCTTTATTCCACTAAATTCAGAAGTCTGAATCTAAAAGTAATTCTGGATATACTTAATAATTTGTTATGTTTCTTATGGTGGAGCGCACATCTCTTACATAAACACACAAGTGCATTGTATTTAATAGCTTAATCAATGGTATAATGTTATGAGTGTTATGACAATACAGTAATTAAGGAAATAGTTATGGGAGGGAGGCAGGAATTAGTTAAGGATAGTATTTGTAAAGTCAAAAGATAATTAAATATAGATAATTGTAATGTTATTCGTAAGTTAATTTAGTTATTATTAGTCTTATATAAATTTAAACATTAGTTTAAAATTAAATTATATATATATATATATATATATATATAGTTGTATAAATAATCCATAACTAGAAACTTAGCTACTCTGTTACTTATCCCTATTTTATTATGTTTTTACACAATTGCCAAGGAAATTAAAACCAAGTTGCCATTTAATAATTTTAGAAATAAAACGTTAAAGTGATATTGAGTTATATAACATTCTATTAACCTCATTTGATTATAAGTTAAACAGGAAGTATTTGAGCTGTTTACATATATCACACACATAATTATATTATAATTCAACGAAAATTGTTCATATGTTTCCATGAGTATATCACACAACGATTACAGTTATATTTTATTACAACTGATGATTCGTACAGAATATACATTCAATAATTGTATATACGTATAGTGTGTTGTTGCTTCGAAGACAAAACACGCAATCATAATAATTGTATTTAATTTAAACTGTTGACTATTTAAATTGATTAATTGTTCTAATTGTATTTATTTTGTGTTTGTTGTTTATACTGTGAACTGATTGTTATTTTAGGTTTTTTTTTTTCAAATAGAAATAACGTTCATCCCGTTATATA